AGCAGGCACCCATAGCACCTGAGCTCCACGCCCAGCAGGTGTGCTCCTGGCAGTGAGCCCAGGAGGCCCTGACATGTCCCCGCCCAACAGCTGCCATCTGGCCCATCCTTGGGCCTCTGTGGCAAGGCCTCGGATTATGTGAGGCTTCTCTTTTGGGGCTCTGTCCTCTTGGTCAGGCAGGTGAGTCATGGAGCTTGCTCAGTTCCAGCTTGACCCCAGGTCCAGCCCCGTCTGCTCCCTGCCTTCCAGGATGCTGCTGCTGAGGAGCCCTGATGGTGGTGTAAGTTTCCTCTTGGCGCCGGCAGCTCACCACTCAGCTGCTGTCTTGCCTTGTGCCTGGCAGGCTGGCTTAGCTTTCTGGAAAGCTGTGGCTGGAGCAAGAACCTTTGAGAAAATTTGCATGGGTGAAGCAACCAGCAGGGTGACAGTGGTACATAAAGATGTTCTCTGAAGGATTATAATAAGCATTATAAATCACCTCGATGCTTAGCAATCGGAAAACGGTTAAGCAAACCACGTTACTCCTATACAATCAAATATGATCACGCCACATAAATGGCATTTGTAGAGTTTCATAATGGCATAAGGAAGCAATTAGAGATAATGGGGAAATGACAATGGACAGGATCAGAACCTGGAAGGAAACACACCAACATGCTACCCATGAATGCTTCCACTCTGGTGCACTTTGCTTTCATCTCAGACAAGTGGCTCCCCCTAACATCTGGCCTGAGTCTTCACAAAAGAGGGTGACGACAAAGACAGCAGATCAACAGGAGGGTCACAAATGAGCGGCTTGCACAGCACAACGTTAGGTTTGGAAGCTCAGGGGCCTGATTTAAATCCTGCTAGCCATGACTTCAATTAATGCTTTTGTCGTTGTCTGTGAACTGCAGCTTTATAATTAGGCAACAGAACAGCGGAAGTGTCCACCTTCCAAGGTTGTGAGAGAAGCGCTGGGCGAGTCCCCTGGAAATTCTCAGCAGCCCAGAAAGAGCTCAGACTATGTTGGCCTTTGCTGCTACTGAGCTTGCAAAGTGTGTCTGTGGAGCACAGGGGCATAGGCTTTGTGAGTTGTTCTCACTTGGCTCCGGGCAAACTCCTACCGTGGATGGGTCACCACTGCTTTCTTGCCCTCGCCTTACTAGTAGGCCCTACTAGAGAGAAAGCAATGACTAGCAAGTAGAAAGCACCACCCAGTTTGCCAGGGGCAAGTCCTCCTGTCCTTGTCATATAAGGAGATTCTGGGGTCCGGTCAGTGACGGACTTGCTCAGGTGAGGTCTGTGGACAGAGTGGTAAGGAGCCAGGCAGCGGCGGGTGTTGGCACCTCCTACATGGTCATGAAAGGTCCTCAGGGCGCTGTCCAGGGCAGTTCTGACAATGGCTGTGTTGTGCTCTGAGCTGGCAAAGCAGGGATGACTCATACCCAGGCTGGCAGGGGTCTCTTTGCCCTAAATTTTCAATTTGCACTCAGCAGGGCCCCATGCCACCTGGCAATTGGAGCATCGGCGTCCCCATGAGAAGTCGGGGGCCGCATTATCCTCCTTGTGTATGGAGGAGGGTTTTTCCATTCAACGTTGTACGTGGCCTGCCTGGCTTCTGGGTTTTTTCCAGCAGGCTCAATCCCAAATGCCTATGCCTGTCTCGGAAGTGCCCAGCTCATTCAGACTGAAGATGTGCCCATGTGAGCAGGAGGCTTTCATCAGTCACCTGTCAGCCCTACTGTGCATCTGGCCCACTGCTCACAAGAGAAAATGACCGTGTCACAGGACAGACTGCGTGGTGGGCATCATTTTCCTGGGGAAGCAGGGACTTGGGGCCTGGGATTAAGAGATAGAAAAAGATGAAAAAGTGTCATTTTCTGAAAGATGCAAGTGAGGAGACCTTTTAAGAATGACACACAGTCCTGAAGCCACTTCTATATGGTCAGTTCAGTAGCAAGTACGGGACCATTGTTCCCAGAGGAATCCAGGCACTTTCAATCAGCCTCATGTACAGACTGGCCAATTTCCTTTCCCTGTTAGATGTAGGTTTGACTCATTAACAAGGAACTGCCAGACAGCAGCACCACACATCACACCTGATTGAAGTTCACCTGAGAAGCATCTTCTCCCGAAGGCACATCACAGCTTTCTGGGCTCAGGGACACTGGCCAGCACCACAGCCCTGGGCCTGGGACCACTTTAAACTACAAAGTCGTCGACAAAAAGCATGGTACTAAATGGAACACAAGAAACCATCAACCCGAGACAGAAATAGACAAAGGATGTAAGAGGAGAATTAACAGCAAAGAAGGAGATGAATGACTCCCATAACAGGAGAGGGCAACACTGCTCATGAAAAGAAACTTGCCAATTAAAACCACAATAGGAGCCCCCACGATAACAGCATTCCTCTATTGGGGTGACAAAAACAAGAAGGCCTGAGTGTAGGCAGGGCTTGACTGGGAGACTCCCCCAGACTTCGCTGGAGTGGAGGAGGGGCAGCCATCGCTGTTCATGTTGAGGAAAGACACAGGGGCACCTGGCCTTCCAGACCATCATCCTACTCCTCCGAGCACGCACCTGAGCTTCTGTGTGCATGGGCTCAAGGGCGGTACATTTCGTCGTAAGTGGCAGGCCTTGTATCTTTCCCTCAGATTGCTATGGGATTCTGTCTGTTATCTGAGTTCTGTGTGCAGAGGTGGCATTATCTCCATATCTCATTTCTGGTGGCCTGATGTCTTCGTTCATTTTTTGCTGGGTATGTTATAAAGAATAGAAGTGTGTTTGGCTCGTGGTCCTGGGGGTGGCACCAGCACCTACTTATGGCTTTCTCGCTAACATGGTAAAGGGCATTACATGGCGAGACAAGAGCAAGTGTGCCGGAAACAGAGGACTTTTATGACAAAGCCACTTCCTCAATAACTCATAAATCCATTAAGCCATTAATACACGATTAAGTTCATTAATTTGTAAGGCAGAGATTCTTGACTCAGTCACAGCCTTTCCCACCTTTCAATACCACTGCATTAAAACTGAGCTTGCACCATAAGAAAAGTGGGGGTGTCTTAGTAACTTTCTCATCACTGAGGCACAACACCCAACACCCACGGCTGTAAGGAGAAAAGGTTTATTTTGGCTCATAGTTGTAGAAGCTCCAGTCTGTAGTCAGCTGGCTCTAAGACAGTGGCGGATGATGGAGGGCATGGTAGAGGAGAAAGAGCTCATGGCATGGTAGGAAGCAGAGAGAGAGATCAAGGGATGAGGAGGGAGATACACTCTTCCAGGGCGCATGCCCAGTGACAACCCCACCCACCTTCAAACCAGCTTTCACCTGATGTCACGTTTAACTATAAACTCATCAATGGGCTAACCCACTAATGAGTACCATGCCACCATAATCCAATCACCTCCCAAAGCCCCACCTCTGAGCACATGAGGTTTTGGAGGACACCTAGATATAAACCACAACAGGGGATGCATTCAAATCTTGGTATCCTGTGGGTATCTCCAGCTGGGTCCTCAGTCTAGGCACAGGGCAGTGACCCAGAGAGGACCTGAGTGGGTGCTAGGGAAGGGCCAGCCCCAGACAGGAGCTCTCTGGCTCTTGGCTCATTCCCTGAAGCTTGGGTGGATGCACCCCTCTCAGCATGCAGGGTGAAGATGGCAATTTCCTCCAACTCAGTGCAGATGGATCCATCAGGGCAGCCTTCAGGGAGTGAACCACGGAGAGTCCACAGAAATAATACACAGATTGATAACTCTCCTGCCACACAGCCTGATGGTCTCCCCCGGACACTTGGTCATAGGATACATCCTGCCAGAATCCCACAGAGCGTACTGACTGGTATTCTCTGGTCCAGGGAAGCCAGGCCTCACCCACATGAACACCCCAGGAAATAGGAACTTCGCCTCTGCATTTTGGATATGAAGAAGCCATGCTCTCCGACAAACCATCACTTGCCAAGGTCACATGTGGTCATCCAGGGGGCAGATGTAAACTGAGGCAGTGGCTCCAAGCTGGGCCCAACAGGACACCCGGCTCTTCAGCCTCACCAGTGGGTTGGGAAGCTCAGCTGCAACACCTGGAAAATGGGATTCCCAAAATAGCAGCTCCCCAACACTCTTCGCTGTTTGCCAACATAGGATGGACCACAGGGTTGTTTTGTTTTTGTTTTTCTCAACTTTTATTTTGAAGAGTTTCAAACCCACAAGAAACGTTGTGAGATTGTTTTCTTTGTTCTTTCTTCACATTACACATGACACAATAATGACCTTCAGGTCCTACTGGCTCCATTTCCTCTTGTGCCTGGCTGTCCTGGGTTATTACCCAAATGGGGGTCACACACAAAGCTATAGGCCAATACCTTCCTATTCACAGAATGAGTTCAGAAGCAGAGACATTGCTGATTGTGTGTTGTGTCTTCTCTCTAGCTAAACATATCTCAGGATTCTCTTGCTTGGAAGTGATGAGCACTATCCCCAAATGGCTCAAATCAAAAAGGGAGCTGACTGACTTATAACAGTAGAAAAATCTGGTGAGCTGTAACTGTTTTGTGCGTAGTTGGATCCAGGTGTCCAAGAGCCATGTCCAGACTCTGCCTTTCCCTCTTCCTGCTCCATTTTCTTCCATGGAGATGTGCACCATTGACTCTTCCTAGACATGGCTCCCACAGCTGCCAGTAGCTTTGGGATGACCACAGCTTTTCCTTCAGCAGCCCCAGGGAATCTCATGGCTAATTTAGGTCAGCTGTCTGTTCCTGTGCCAATCACGATGAAGAGGCTGGAGTACTCTGATTGGCAGAAGGGGTCATGTGCCCCTTGGTTCAAAGGGCTGTTAGAGGAGGGCTTTCTCCCCAAAGAGGGGGTAGCTGGCTGCCCCACCTACCCAGGGCCTTGACCATTGTCTTAGTTACTTTTCTAGCTACTGAGACAAAATACTCAACACCCAACGTCAAAGGAAGAAAGGTTTATTTTTTTCTTACAGTTTGTAGAGGTTTCAGTCCATAAATGGCTGGCTGTAAGGCAGGGTGGCTTGGTTGAGCAGGCAGGAGGCACAGAAGACAAGCAGCAGTAACAGAAGCTGCAGCAATAGATGACCAGCTCTCTTACTGTTCCTTATATTCCATTCAGGCTACTTGGGGCAGGTAGCACTCACACCCAGGGTGGGGCATCTTTAACCCCAGCATTGCACCATTAATCCCAGCATCGCACCCTAAACCCAGCCACCTCTGAAAAGCCCCACCTGTGGCTACATGGAGCTTTGGGAGGACATCTGGATACAAGCTATAACAATCACCGGGAGGCTGGCTCTGCTCACCCTGAAAATCTGCATTATCTCCCAGGGTTCCCAGCACAGCTCTTAGCTTCTTGGCCTCAGTTTGCTTTTCTGTTAAATAGTTCACCACACAAGACATGGAGCGGGTGGCAGGAGAGGTGCCCACTGAATGCTAGCTCTGTCCTCCCAAGCTCTGCAGTCTCAACAGACCTGCTAAGGGAGTTGCAGCCTCATGGGGCCATGGGAATGGGAACTTCCGTTTTCCAAAAGGTTTTCTGTGATCTGTGAATCCAAGAACAAAGTCATTGATCAATAAACCACAACAGTGACCCTCCTGATGAACAAATACAGATTGATCTTACAGATGGTATTGTTCTTCAAGGTAATTGGTCACTGGCCACCAGAAGCGTTCCTTTGAAGACAAGACCTGAAATACAATGATATTGCAGGTCACTAACAGACTACTCCCCAGCAGCCTTCACCCTGTTGTTTTTCACATCAAGGTGTGGCTCTGGGCCCGGTTGTCTGAGGATCAGGAGTTGGGACTGGCCAGAGGGCCTAGGGGCTGAAACAGGGGAAACCAGTTCCAGCCACATCAGACAGCATAGCAAGCAAAGCCGGAAAGTGCGCAGGTGAGAGGCTGCAAAGAGCTGTTGGCCTAGCCAGGGGCTCTTTTCAAGCGCCTCACCTGGACACTCCATCCTCCTCATAGAGAAACTGAGTCTCCAAGAAGAAAAGCTAGCTGTCCAAGGGCACACAAGTGAGCACAGCATTGCAGAACCAGTCTCCAGGCCCTGCCCCTGCTCCAGGGTCAAAACAGGTTACTTTTCAACCCGGAGGAGTTAGTTACCTATGAGCATTAACCAGATTTGTGGATGGGTCTCTGAACACAAGAGCCAGGGGGGTGGGGTTGAGTGGGTTGGGGTAGGGTGGGATAGGTGGGATTTAGAAAGTGAAATGTTGAGGTGCATGCCCATCATCCAAACACTCTGGGAGGCTGAGGAAGGAAGATCTCAAGTTTTAGTCCAGCTTGGGCAACTTCACAATTTAGTGAGACCCTGTCTCAAGACGAAAAATTAAAAATTGGTTGGGATTTAGCTCAGTGTGAAGGCCCTGGGTTCAAGCCCTAGACATGATGGAAAGAGAGAAAGAGAAAAAAAAAGAAAGAGAAGAGAAGAGAAGAGAAAAGAAAGAAGCAGAGAGAGAGAGAGAGAGAGAGAGAGAGAGAATAAAAGAGAAAAGAAAAGAATCTAATAAAAATATTTAAGGTGCAGGAGAGCACACCTGTGGTCTCAGCTACTTAGGAGGCTGAAGCGGGAGAATCACCTGAGGCCAGGGGTTCACAGCCTGCCTGGATAACATAGCAAGATCTAGTCTTAAAAAATGAAATAAAGAACAGAAAGAAACAAGGTTAAAGGGCAGGCATGTACTTGAGACAGGGGTCTGAAGCCAAAGAGGGGTTTCGTCACTCATCTGACATCCACAACACTCGTGAGAATCAATATGGAAAAGACCAAACTGCCCAAAGGAAACGATGCGTGGACTCATCACAGAAGGTCACAATGCCCTGAAGAAGACACTTCGGTCTTGCTGGGCACTGCTGTGGAGTGCTGAAGCTCCTCTTGTTCTAACAGAGTCTGGAGTTAGCACAGGCCAGGCACGACTTCTTTTTGTTTCATTTCTAGGAATTTATCTCATGAAAGCAAAGATCTCTGAGCTACTTAGAAAACTAAATCAATCCCAGGTTCCGGCCAGTGGGCCGAGTATTAAGAGCATGGTGTAGTATTTTCCTCATCAGATGGGACAGCAAGCAAAGGCAGCTGGAAGGGAGTTTCTGAAGGCTTTGCAAACTGCCTGGAGCGATGCCTTACTTCCTTTGGTAAGAAATAATAGAGTCACCAGCTGGTGCACAGTGAGGTGAGGATGTGATGTTGACGTCTGTCTGTCCCCTCCGCACTAGACAGGCTATAATTCCACCTTGACCTCTGCCCCCAAGCTGTGCCTCTCTGGACCAAATACTCCCAGCCCGCCCATGGCGAGGCGCAATCAGGACACTTGCTCTGCCCAGCGGTCTGAGTTCAGAGGCCCACAGAGAGCTTTGGATGTCATTTTGGTTTCGCGGCCCCTGTACTCCTTTGGATGGTGGCGACTCCTCAGTCATCTGGGTCTCTGTCTAGGGTGGAGAGGTGCCGTCACAGGGCCCTCAGGTAAAATGCGCACAGGCAACCCTTTCTTATCCTAAGCCCTGGAGCTTTAAGTTCATTTGTTACACAGCAGACATGACCGATAACATTCTGAGTTGAGCTCCTGGCACTACCAGAGTTAGGCATATCAGAGAATTACAATGAAAAAAAAAATGTTGAAAGAGCTGATAAAGAAATGATCTCAGAGAAAAGAACTGCAAGAAAATATACTGGAAATCTGCAGCAGTTGTCTCTGTTTGGGTTAATTCTGTTTCTTTTTCCCTTTGTGTCACTCTGGTGTCTGCAGATAGTCAGCCACAGCTATCCTGGGTGCTGCCTGGTGATACAATGCATTGAACATCTGCTATACAACTTTCCCAAAGCACAAGAGAGGCTGGAAAACAATCTTTAAGCTATTGTCATTGTTGCTAAGTTTCTAATACACATTATAATGCCATGGCTTGAAAACAGGAAGTATAATTCAGAGGATCTCTTTTGCACTCTAACCTGGTTCCCCACTGCACATCCACCAACAGACGATACCATTCCTGGCTTCTGTGTCGTAATCGCCTCCTTTCATTCACACAAGAGAGTGTGTAGCTGCTCAGCTCTATGCTAAGCTCAGAAGATCCCTCCGTTCAGTCACACAGCGGATCCTCATTCTTTTGACACCTGCATAATAGTCCAATGTGCAGAAAGGCTAGTTTGCATCACCAGCCCATCCTGCCGGCCACAAGCCAGGCCACAGCAAGCCTGTAATTCGCTTGTGCCAAGTCGATCTGGGATGAACTCCCAGCAGTGGAGCTGATGGGGTCCAAGGTTTTATGCATCAGTAATTTTGATAGATTTCACCAAATTGCCCTCAGGAAAGGTTATACCAATTCTCACTCCCCACCCAGCGAGGCAGGGAGTGTCCGCTCCCCATGGCCTTGCCCGCAGAGCATGGTAATTGAATTTGGGATTAGGGGAAGAGTGGCAATTTCCATATCTCTTGTGACAAATAAGGCTCAGCCTCTCCCTACAGGTCAAGGGCCCCTTCTACATCTCCTCTCTGCTGGCTGCCCAGGGCTCGTGTCCAAGACACTGGCTTGGCCCCTTCCTTATCTGTAAAGCAGAAGCACCCTCCTCCTTCACACCAGCTCCCCACCAGTCCACGACGTGACTGGGCCCCTTCTCTGCTCATGGTCCTGTCCCTGCAACCTTCTGTGTGCTCACAGCCCTGCACAAAGCCGCCTGTCCACGGAGGCATCTGCAGCCCTCCTCCCCATGAGAACCTAACCCACTGACCACAGCACGGCTGAGCTGGCTGGAGGTGAATCCTGCCATGTGACTCTCGAGGGGACTCCACTGAGTGGGGTTCTCTGGCACTCAGGTGGCCTCTGAACCCACAACAGGGCTAGGTGGTGGCTGGGCCTGAGGCTTGGAATCAAATTCTACCCCTGGACCAGCCCAGCCACAGCTACCAGAGAGAGGGCCTAGGCTGAGGCATGGCTGAACCCCCTTCTTCTGCCTCAGTTTCTCTCTGCAAAACGGTCCATTACCAGCCCCACAAGGTCACTGTAGGATAGTACGATGTCTGCAAAGCTCAGAGGCCAGGGGCCCCGACTGGGTCAGTGAGCATCAGCTACTGTATCTCCATGTAGTCAGGAACCCAAGCCTGAATCTTCTCACATGTACCCCAAAGAATAAAGGAGAGCGGGGCTGGGCTGCATCTCCCTTCTGTGCCCTGGGCCACAGTAAGAGGAGGAGCTTGGCCCTCGGTCCTTGTCTGGGTACCTATGGGCTACAGCCCCATTCACTATCACCAGGTACCTCCAATAGCCCATCTTCAGGCAGGGATCACTAGGGGACCCCTAGTCTACCTGTACCTCCTCAGAGCCCTCAGGCCCAGCACTAGGGGAGCAGCCAGATATCCACTCCTGACAGACGTGGATAGTGCTAACCGAGGTCCAGGCATTTTCAGGGAGTCTCAAGGATCACAGAAGCATCTGGAGACCAGACTGGTTCCCTGGTGCACAGCCTGGCTCCCTGGTGCACAGCCTGGCTCCCTGGTACACAACCTGGCTCCCTGGTGCATAGCCTGGCTCCCTGGTACACAGCCTGGTTCCTTGTGTGCACAGCCTGGTTCCCTGGTGCACAGCCTGGCTCCCTGGTACACAGCCTGGCTCCCTGGTGCATAGCCTGGCTCCCTGGTACACAGCCTGGCTCCCTGGTACACAGCCTGGCTCCCTGGTTCACAGCCTGGGTCTCTGATGTACATAGAACTATATTTCACAAAGCTAGCACACCCAGTTTCCCTCACAGCGTCCTAAATGAGCAGGCAATGGGGCAAGAAGGGTAAAAAGGGAGTGTTATTACCTCACACAGGGGAGCTAGCCACAGCCCGAGGACAGCTGCAGGGATTCAGTGTCCACCAGCTCATCTGAGTTGCTACAAACAACATCCAAGAGACGTCCTTGTCAGCACTAAAATGTGTTTCGGGATGGGGAGGAGATCCCTCCAACCTGAGGTTCTTTCCTGGGCCATACCTTGGGTGGGCATCTTCACAGTTATATTTACTAATCCCTTCATAAACTGCTGAGTGGTGGCTGAAGCTGGGATCTGGGGACACAGCCCTGAAAGAGGTCCACACCCCAGCTCGCTATGCAGTCTGCAGGGCCATCACGAACTGCAGTCGGATCCCCAGGTGAGGCCGCCTCCTGCTGCCCCCCCAACCTGGAATCGCCCACCTGCAGTGACATCAGAGAAGGAGCCCTGCAGCCCTGAGTCCCTCTCCAGCCTCCTTCTCGGCCAAGTGGGAAGGACAGCAGAGTGTGGGTCTGAGCAGACTGCAGAAAAGGAGAAAGAGAGAGGGGCGGACAGAAGAAGGAAAGGTGAGAATGACAGAGAACGGCACGGTAAACAGTACGCTCAGGATAAAGTAGAGCATTAGCCTTTGAGGGTCAGCTTCGAGAGGCTGGGCACGTCCTGAGCTCTACTGCTGACCGGCAAGATGGAAACAGGAACCACAGAGCAGATAACTCAGCCTGGGTTCCAAGCCCCTCGGCTTCCAGACCGCAGAATCTTTTTAAGAAGCTGGTCACAGGACTGGGGTGTGCTCTCCTTGGTGCGGGGGTCCGCAGGGCTGGTCCTAACAGGTCCTCACTCCGCCCTAGAGCAGGTCTGACCAGTGACAGGGTGACTCGGCAAAGCTTCGGAAAGGTTGGCCTGCCATGTGCCGGACAGTAATACAGTGCTTCTGTGTTATTCTCCCAAATGTGACACAGTTAGTGACTCTCAGACACTGCTGCCACTTTGAGTTGCTTTAGAAATGTGTGCACAAGTGCATGAGGCAAAAATCCACGTGATGGGGTCCAGCCTATATCCGATGCCCGGAAGCCACTTGGGCCCTCAGCCGCACCCGACCCACTCCTGTCCACCGGCTGCAACCTTCCATCCCCACCTTTCAGCCCAGAGGAAGTGACAGGGTGACCAGGGCGCCTGCTCATTCAGCAGAGCCGGGGAACAATGCTGAGGGGTTCACCAAAGCGCCAGCACGGCCTCAGCCACCAGACTCTGACACTGACCAACAAGTCCTTTCAAA